AGTATATTATGTTAAGTAATATTGAAAAGTAGATATTATATATATTGCTAGTGCTTTAAATCAGCAATATAAACATAATTAATATATGGTTTGGTTTTTTGAATTAAAAAATAGAAAATAATTATTTAATAAGAATTGTTTTTTAGTAAAAAGTATAAATAAAAAGAATCTCAAGAAAAATTTGTAGAAAAGTAATTATTATAGACCTTTTCTTATACAATTCAAAAAAAAAGCAAGGTCTTCAAACTTGTTTTTTTTTGATTAAAGGTCCTATCCTAATGCACTAGTATACTTCTCTAATTTCCTTGAGATTCTTGTAATAAAGATAAAAGAAGTTGAAAACTGTTTTTTTAATTTTGAAAAAAATTACTATAAAAGAAAATTTTTAAGAAAAAATGTTGTGTACAGAAAAGTTTTTTTTTTTATAAAAAATTAAAATAAATATTTTAAAATTATAAATATTTATTTGAAAGTAAAAAATTTTAGTTTTTTATTCAAATTTTTTTCTAATAATAAATTCAAATTGAATTTAATTAATATTATTATATTATATAAACTTATATATTATTTTTTTTATTTTATTTACTTATTAATATGTTTTTAAGTTTAACATTTTTCTTTTTCTTCTTTTTATAACTTGATTTCTTGAAGTATTTTTTTTATTATTGATTTATTTTATATTTTTGTAATCTATAATTTATAATAAAGTTGAGTTGTTTAATTAATGTTTTCTTTGATTTAAGTATCTTAAAATCTTTTTGTTCTTAAATCAGGACTCATAATTTGATCCATTTTATAGTAATATTGCATTTATATTTCTATCTTATATTAATATAATCATCATGTTAATAACTTTAAAATAATTTATTTGATATGTAACAATTAATTTTCAATTCTATTTTTGTTTCGCACTGTATATAATCAAATAATTAAAGATTATATATTATTTTTAAATTTCATTTGCTTTATATAAAAAAATTTTTTAATTTTTATTATTATGTTCTAGTTTAATATTATTTTTTCATAAAATTATAATTTGCATTACATGATGCATATTTTGCCTTCAGATCTATTGGAATTTGTTTATGTATTAAAATTCCATAAGTAAATATGTAGATATAGAAGTTCTGGTTTACACTCGATAAGACAAATAACTGTAAAGCTTGAACCTAATTAATTAATAGAGAAATGATAACTTATAAAAATACTTATGATAAATCATGTATAACAGTATGGAACTGAATTTAAATTTCTTTTCGTTTTGTAAATCCTACTTGTGTTTGATAAACAAATGAGCACAATTCATCAAAATCATTCTTCTCGATTTGAAGTTATTTAAAGGTTGACTTAAAAATATCCTCGGTCCGTGTAAAGTTGATCTACACTTCTACCATATTTTTCCACATCGGGCCCAAAAGCTGGTGGTGGTGGAGTGTATTCAATCAAATGGTGAAACATTCGTCCGCCAGGAATGAGCGCCTGAAGATCAGCTTTTGATGGTACTGCTTCGAACGCTACCTTTGGAATAATAATAATGAAAAAACAAATGAATAGGTTTATTCAACTCTTATAAATTAGCTGGTGTTAATTAATAATACCTACTGTATCATTTATTCCAATATAACTTTTACATAATTCATTTGCTTCTGCATATTCTTGAATAGAATGTTTGGCAATAATCGGAGATTTTGATTTGGTAAGGACATGTAACACATCCCTAGCTTCTTTGATGAATCCAACGGCTTTTCCGGTTTGCCTTAAAATATAAAATAGTAACGATATTATGGATATAGCTAAAGAAAATATTAAAAATATAAAGAATTTCGTTTACGACTTACTGATGTTCGTACGCATCTTTCGCCAAGAACTTCTTTCCGAGCGACTACATAAAATCAAATATAATTTTCTAATATAATATATAAATTTAATGCTTTGCTAATCGAATAAGTACACTTAAAAAAATGTACTAACCTGGTGAAATAAAATACTATTTGAAACGTACTTTCGAAGGTCTTGACAAACTTTTTGTGGGTCTTTTAAACTGTTGATGAGTCCATTTGTCATTTCATAATGTCCTGCTGCACCAATTGCCAACTTGGCCAGCAATGACGATGACATCTGCTGTGTGAGAGCTTTACGAATAGCAATTGATGAAGCATCTGCGATCGAAATTCTGAAATGAAAACAAGATAATATATGCTAGAAAGTATATTATATGGAACGGTATACGTTATATTGACTTACTTTGATAAGGACATGGATAATTCAGACAAAACATCTGGTGGTCTTGTCGGAGGCGGATCTTTCCAATTGGGGCATACCTTTTCCGCAATATATTCAAATACTCCTGAAGCTTTACGCAATAAATCTGCAGCCTGAAATTAAATTCATTTTTACTACTTTCATGTAACATGGTTGTTCAATTCGGATGCCGTACCTGTCTTAAAGCTTTATCGCCTTCATCTTTCTGCATCTGCCTTTCAATGTTACAGGATGCCTTATTGGAACAAGCATATCCATACGTTAAAAGAATAAAAATCAATTCATAATGTATCCCTCGACAAGCCACTCGAGGCTTCTTTTTCAGAACTGAAGCCGTAAGAGAACATCGCCATGACGTTTCTACGAATTAAAAGATTGGTTGGTTGAAACGAAATTTGCAATATAATCAACTAAGTTTGATCAAATGATCACCAATTTCTTTCTTTAATTTTAATTGGCCGCATTCAAGACAATTGATAATTCCGAGTAAATATGGAAGATAATCAACAATCGTCTATATTGATAAAAAAATTGTAGTTGGTCGTTTTACTTGAGTATAAAACATGTAGACTGTTAAGAATCTGAGAAATATAAAAAAAAAGGTTAATAAATACACTTATAATCTTTGTATAATCTATTGGTCCTTCTGTCCTATTTGCTTCCTTCAAAACAGTTCGGACACGTCCCCTTTGAGCTGTTGCATCTGAGATTTCATTTATATATAAATTATTTTCATCCAACAAAAAATCTGAAAAAGAAATAGAGCCAGTGGTAGGGATCGGATATATAAAGCTCATTTCTAAAGAAAAAGGGTTGGAATATTAAAATTATAAGTGTCCCAAGTGTGCATATATAGGCCATTTAAAACACGTGAAATTGCAAAGTTTCACATTATCACGAAACTTAATAATTTGGTTAGCATTAACTTTGAAAAACAATTCAATTTTTAAAACAATATAATGTATATATAAGTAGAATTATAAGGTTGAAGCTACATTGATCGATCTTATTATAGTCTAAGCTTTAAGTATACAGGATAACTTATATCTTTATTTTAATTAGCAATTTGTTAATTTAAAAAAATTATTAATAAAAGATATATATCAATAAATCAATTTATATTATTTAATATTTAATATAAAATAAAAATTTAACCATGATTATTCTTTATTATTATTATTATTATTTAACAAGCAATAAATGCGCAGATTTTATTGAATATTTCGTTATTACCAATACATTAATAATCATTTACACAGTAAATAACCATGATTATTATTATTTTTTGTAATTAAACAAGAATATATAATAATTTAACTACTTTTATACACAAACTTTTAAATATAATACTTGAAAATTCATCTTAAATAAAATTATTTCTAGGTATGATCTTGAATTATTACTTATAATTTATTATTACAGTTTATTTTTTCAAAATCTTAATTATGTTTTATATTTTTAATTATTTTTTTTTCTTTGATCTTGTTCAAAGAACATTTTGAGTTTTTCCAAAAGTTTTTTTTTTCTTTTTATTATCTAATAAATTGTTTTAATTGATATCTTTTTTATTAAAACTTAAAGATAGTAAAATATATTTCTTGATTAACTTCTTTTCTTTCTTATATTGTTATAGAAAAAAATGATAAATAAATAATAGAAAATTATAAGGATAAATATATCAGGTATAAATAGTACAGTATATCATATATAAATAATATATTAGATATAAGTGACATATCAGATATAAGTAGTATATTAGTATAAAATATATATATATATATAAGTAACTTGAAAATAATTAAAAAATAGGAAGAATCAGAATAGGTACTATGCAACTGTTAAATAAAACCATTTTTATTTGATAAACTATTGCCTTATAATTAAGTCCAATATTATATAGCTAATGAAATTGCTGTATATGAAATATCAGTTAGGACATAAGATTAACAAACTAATTTATATCAATATTATAAACTTTAATCAAATTTATATACCTCTTTTGAGCAGAAATTGCTTTGATTGTTATATAGTATAAGACAGATCAAAGCAACTAACTTGCTATAATTTTATTATAATAATATAATTTGTTAACTTTTTTTTTCTTAAGAAAACTTGATAATCTTGATGGTTTTAATAATATTATTGATTTTATTTATTTTATTTTATTATTTTATTTATATTATTAGATTTTTTTATAATATTTAATTTTATTATTTAGGCAATACTTTATTTTGCTGGCCTGGTGATATTTTACATGGTATAATAGCTTTACTAGTTGAAGAAGTAACTTGTAATTTTTTTTAAAACCTTGCAAAAAGAACAATTACTGTTATTAAAAAATGGTGAGAAGAAACTGAAAAAACAAAACATATAAAATACTAATTAAAACAATTAAAACAAGATTTGTCAGCTTACAATGCTTTAATAGAATCATTAAAAAGAAATAATAATAATAATAGAGAAATTATTCTAGAAAGTAATTAAAAATATTCAGGCCAGCATATAAATATCAATTCAAATTGTCATAGTTAATTTGAATAATAAATAAAAATATTTTTATTGTTTAATAAAAAAATAATCATTATAAGTATATAATACTAGTAAAATTA